TACAGAATGCTTATTATCTCTTTTTTTAGAGGCAAGTTTAAAGTCAGCGATTATAAGGAACTTAGCAAAAACATGATGGGAATGGGATGCCAGGGGAATAGATGATTCTCTCATCTGAAATGCATAATTAGCTTTTGGATAAGTGTGCAATTAACATTAAAATTTACAATCAAGTATGATGGTGTTCTAATTTTACCTCTTTTAAATGAAAGAGCCAACTTAGTTACCAGTGCTGCTTCTTTGAATCCCTTCCCTATGAGGCGAATTGCACAGTAACATCTGGTCATCCAGGAGACAACTAATTAAAAAAAACTTGTTTAAACACTGCATACTTGCCTCCTGGACAGCTATGCAGCTTGGGTTTTGTTTTGTTTTACAAATTTTTTTTTGTTTGTTTTGTAATGGTAACTGCCACTCAGCATACAAATTATTTTTTTTTGTTTTGTAATGGTAACTGCCACTCAGCATAATTAGCAGTTGTCATATTTCTGATTGTAAAGATTTTTCCTACACAAACAGTGATGTTGCTTTGCACCCTCTTCCCAGCTGTGCCTGAAAGCTGGATGTAACACATGTTTCAAGACATCCTCTACAGCTAATCCCAGACCACTACAGGGTTCAGCCGTTAAGCCACTGAAACATTTTTGTTAATGGGAAAGAAAAAGCTGTGCTCATCCTAGCAGTTTAAATCTGATAAACAGCACCTTAAAAGAAAAATCATACTGCAGTCTAAATATGCTGCCTCTATCTGAACATCATATCCTTTGTGTCTTTAACTCCAAGTTAAATTTAACCTCTATTTGCCTTCGAAAAAAAGAGGTTGAAAGTAGATCCACCAGCTGCCAAACCCTCTGTTTAATTATTATTCACATATATGCTTACAGTATGTATGTGCAACAAAAATGAGACTCTAATGTGGAGGGTGCTGTACAAAAGTATAACAGAAGTGTGGTGTGCAAGTGTTTTGGGCTAAACTCTGTCAACGATTTTCCATCAGTAAATTTGTGCTACTATGGAAAGAGTTCAAGGAATTAATCTAGACTGGGCCAGTATGAAGAGTCAGAGGCTGCCCCTCAGCAGTTAACCTCAACACCATGTTGCTCAGAAGTTCTGCCATTATTACTACTTACCACCAACAGACACACAAATGCACAGGAGGAGGAAAAAAAAGAAATCTCACATTGCTCTCACCTAAAAGCAAAATCACTTTTATTCACTTGCTTCCACATGGATCCAGACAAAGTGGCCATCTCTAGCTGCTAGGCAACCTGAATGCTGCATTGACCAGTCACTGTAAGCATTTGCTTAGAATAATGTTACCTTCGAGATTGATTTCTAATAAAAAAACCTTAACTAGCTGAAAATGTAACAGCTTTCCTTGGGTAATTAGCAACCCTGGGAATACCAAACGGTTGGTCAGAAAGAAATAGTCCATATGCACACCCCACATGCAGAGAAACATTATAAAACAGCTTCTTACAAATATATTGTAATATATTGCTTTATATGAAAGTATTACTACAGGTGAAAGTGGCATAAAAAACTCTATCCATTAATTACATTTATGTAGATATTAGAATACCTACATAATATATATATTTACATAAGTATTATTTTAAATTAGAAACGTGTAAAGCATCAAACCTCATCCAACTACGAAACAAGCTTTTTCAGTAAAGTTTATTCAATTTATATAAAACCACCACTCCAAAACAAGACAGAAAAGACTTGAAATTAAAACACCATCAATTGATCTTGGAGTTTTATAACAAAGAAAAAACCCACTGAACATTGTTTCACATAACCCTTCTCCAGGCCATTTCACTGTTTTCTTCTTTACCAGCAGATCTATCATTCTACCTTAAAAACACCATTAATGTCTTTGCTGTGTCCCATTCCTCATGAACTCAAGAGAAAGAGATACTCCTTTCAAGTCTTTTCAAAGCAGATCATTTTCCAGAGTGCTAGGTCACTAGCACAACTGTTAGGAATGTTATTAAAATGCCAGTTTGGGTGATTGAGGTGTTGATGTCAACAAAACAAGAGGCCCATTAGCAACATCAAAATTGAACAGAGCAGCATTCTGTTTTGATCATTAAACCTGACAGCTTGTCAAAACACGAGTCACAAAATACAGACTTACTCAAACTCTGCACAAACACAAAAGCTAGAACTTCAGTTTAAAATGCCCATCAATTTCTACTGGAGGTATTAACTGTGAGACAGGCCAGAAAGACCTGACACAGCAACACACTGTTAGTCTTCATGTGCAGCTGCCTGGCACTTGAAGCAGTGTGAATTTTCCCTAGCTTTAAGAAAACCCAAGTTGCTCTTTGTAGCTGGGGTCCTACACCTGAATATTCTGCTCTTCTGTTCAATTCAGCCAAAGTCAATGTAGAAAGTCCCAGTTATCATTGACCTCCCTGGATCACAGCACAGCAGCAATAACTTCCCCACACACCTTCAGATTTCTAGGACACAAACCAAAGTTTTTGTCCACAGCCTTTGAACAGCTCCAGTCTGCCCCAGCTGCACATGCTGGGGAGCTCCACAAGCACCCAGGAACTAAAAAAGACCTGGCTCCACAGAGCAGAGAACATTAGAGCTTCCTAGAAATGCTCCTCTCTAGATTTTATAGACATTCGAAGAGGTTAATTTAAACACTCAGACCTTCTCCTTCTTCACTTAGTTTCACATGAGACCTGATTCAGGTAAGACTTAATATCAAGCTTAGGGGGAAGCATAACTGAAAAAAAAAGTCAACAACAACATTGTTGTGAGTAACAGCAAATCATCCAATGGAGCTGCAGGGTGCCACACTCACAGAAACTCAATAGCAGCTCTAAATGATTTTTAAAAGTAATAGGAAGACAAGCTGGAAAGAAAACTCTTCTCTCCTAACACACAGCTTTGGTAAGCTAATGGCCCCACTACAACTACTTGTACCCTCAAGTACAAGGCACTACATGGAAATTACAAGTTTAGTCTCAGAACAGGCAGGAGGTAAATAAGCTCAAAGACTGTGTTTTTTGTAGAGGTACATACTTAATGTTTTTGTTAAGGTCCTTAAGTTGTGACTCACATGAGGAATCCATGCAAGGAGAAAGAAAAAAGAACACAAGTCACTCCAGGACCTGCCAAACACTTACATGAAGCCTTCATTGAAAATAAATGTTAAATCAACAGTGTTTTTGGTAATTCAAATACTACAGGTCCTATAGATAGCACCACCTGACATCTCTGTATCAAATCCTTTTACACTCCCCCTCCAAGGTTTCAAACATAATTAATTAAGATTATTGCTTAATCCATTTAAATCCCAGTATCTTTGCAAAAACCACAAACATTTCATAGTGTCTTCTGTCCTGCTTTTACACAATTTTCTAAAAAATTTCATGTTCCAAGATCAAGAAAGTCAAACTCAATGGAAATTATCTTTAGTTCTTTACAGGGCCTGAAGTAGAAACATCCTGATTACCTAAACCTTAAATTAAATCAAACAGAGTCATGTCAGGTTATCCGTATTAGCTTCAATGCCAGAATTTCACAACATGAAAAGGATCTTTTATTAAATCATTTGTTGTATCTTGTACCTGGCAACACAGAAATAAAATCACTTACATTTAAATGCAATAATGAAATACTGATTATAAACCCAGTGTCTAAAGATCAGTTAGAAGACTATGCTCTTAGCTGGGGCAGGATTTGAGTAGAAATGCTATGCAGTTTCAACTCATCTTCAAGATTAAGCTTAACTTAGTGGTTTCTCCAACAAGTAGGCAGCTACTTTGACTTAGTAAGCTAAATCTTTTGAAATTAAGATAATACCTCATATCTTCTATTTGAGATCTTTTATTTTTATGCAAAAGAGAATAAAAGAACCTTGCTGACTGGAATTCCAGCTAAAGCCCTGTGGTACTTCATAACACAGCAATCTGAGCCTAGTTTTTTAAAACACACTGAGTAATTCAGCA